TGGAATTATAATTCAAGATACAACCATTACCAAGAATCCGAAGTGTACGTTTTCTGTGTACTGATTTCAACCTTGATTTCTCCTTTATGCGCACACTACTAAAAATAAACGTGCAGTATTCTAGGTGTTGTTGAACACAAACTGTGTGCACCAACATACATGACCCATTGTTTTAAAGGTTTTGTGTTATATAACCCATAAGACGTTGAGAGTTAGAGGTCTGTTTTAATACCTGTTCTGTAAACAACAAATCGTAGGAGTATTTAAGTCTTAATTCTACCACTGTATGTAACTTAGATAAAACCTCACCATTTATGGTATGATCTACGTTGAGTGATGTATTACCAAAGCATATCCATCCACATTTAGCTGTGTTAAGCTGCAGATGCCATTTTTAGCACCACTGAGCTACCTTGTTAAGCTTCATGCTAATGCGATTTTTCATATTTTTCAGCTCATGAAGAGAAAATGAATAAACTACTACTAATAGACTACTACCTAACGTTCGCAAAAATACCACTGAAAAGGTCTGATATAGTTTTAGGATCGAATACTGAAGTGCTGTTATGCAAGATGCATGATATATCGACATTTTGATTTGTTTTAACGTGTTTATTGAAAAAGAGAATAAGGTTTTGTATTTTTGAGCTAGTATTAAGTGCTGACAGCTCCTCATTAATGGCTTTTAACCTGTGCTGCTCTTTAAATTGGTTAAACATTATTATTTGTGCAACTGCCGCAAAATCGTTTAACTTAAAATAACGTTTCTGCAGCTGGTATATATAATTCTTAGGGCTTACTAAACCTGTACGTTTTAAGAGGTGCACAGGAATCTAGACATAAGTTAACGATCAGGTAGAATGTGTCAATAGCATTCATGACATTATTACACGCGAAAAAGTTATCACAGTCTGAGAATTTAGCCAATGAGTGCAGGAGGTCACAGTCAGCATGCTTATAGTCTCTATATTGGCTTGTTTTCTGCGTGGGTCAGTTATAAGAGGATAGATAGGGATAGTATAAACTACTATTTTATGGTCATTGCTTTCAAATTCATTGTATACTTGTACATATAGTGGGGTAACATCTCTACTAAATATTAGCACAAGTATATTATCACCCCTTGTTGGGGTATGAACCCACTGTGACCAGCAGTGCATGTTAATGGTTGCCGAGAATTCATCATTACATGACTGACAAGTACCGGTATTCCAGTTTACTCCGGGATAATTGAAATCCTTTGTAATAACCTTAGCATTGTAGTTTAGGGCAGATGCATGTGTAAACTCATTGATAACAAGAGCTTTCACATTATCCGAACTATCAGGAGCTCTGTATGTACATGGCTATGGCTTGAATAAACTGTAATACGTTGGTTCTCTGCATTCTGTCTAATATTAGGACTGCTTATACGACGTTTGTGGTGGCCATCTTATGCGATGTTTGAATGAAGTGTGCTCATATAACCACCCCTATAATTAGTAGGGTAAAACATGGTGTCGGGAAGTATATTTTGTGTGATAAGGCCATTGCAATATTTTTGGTATTCGGTGTGGAACCAGACGGTTCTGTGCATACATTCTTCTTACATGGTATGGACTTTTAATCTTAACAGTGTTTTTAAGAGCTTTCTTTTAGAACTAGGTATTCGGGTATGGGCTTCTAAAGTTACACTGGGAAATATCGGATTATTGACGCCATTAAATATACATTGGTTACCTGAGGTCACTACAAGCAAAAGAGGAAAGTGAGAACTCTTCATTGATAAATCAGAGTATTTGATAACATGTGATAGGTTAACTGTACCAGTGGGCTTGTGACTAGAAATTATGGATGACCTTTGTGCAATGCTAAAATAACCTTGAAAATATCCACCGACCAACTAGGACTAAATGAGGATTATAAGCAGTGTGAGGAATTAGAATTATGACAGATGATTGTTAGGGGTTAGGAATTAGATTTAATGTTTTAATCACAAACTGACATCAGCTATAATGCTGAAATAGTATTGAGCTAAGAGAGTGGATTCATTTCGCACTAAAGTCCAAGCCTGTTACCTCATATTTGATTCGTTCGTTCATCAACCATAATGTTGACGTTTTGTGTCAGTCTTTAATTGGTGGTTTTATCTGAGACTGTACGATCGTGCCTAAATTTCGTAAGTGCGCAGATTAACCGTTCGGATTCTTTCAACTTTTCAGCTAATAAATGTGGACCGAATCTAAACAAGATAAGGCACGAGTATTTCTAGCGCTTTTTAATAATACGACTACATTGACATGGGCTATATTGAAGGTTGACTGTTTTTAATATGGAATTACTTATGGATTTAAGGGCGATTGTGTCAGGTATGTTATAGATAATCATGTTATTTCGAGAGATCATTCGCTTATTAACTTCGTCAGCGATAAAATCGATAACAGATTCTACTTTGACAATGTCTTCAAGTTCCTCTGGAACCACAACTTTCATTAATAATAGTTGAAGGGGTGGTAGTAACTTTAGTTCTTGCATTAGATCATCATGCTTTGATAAAGATCCCGCAAGTAACTCCATTTTAGAACGCATATCGCTTAAATGCTTATAGATATTGTCTAACTCACTCTTAATATTATCGATGTTTTTGATCTCAATGTAGAACTCGTTATTAAATTAGAGACTGAGTCATCCAGCAACAGGTGTGGTGTAGGTCCGCTCCTAATATTATCTGATTCAAGGGAGTAACTGGTCATGGGGTATAGGTAATAAAAAAGTTGCTATTATCTAAAAGGTTAGGGCTTTTCCGGGTTCGATTTTTGACGGTCAACCCATTTCGCTAAAAATGTTAATCCTAATGCTATTTATGGGTTATACAATAGGATTCAATGATATCTAGATCCTTTGTATTAGATACCGTATTATTATAATCATCGTATTACTGAAATCAGCTCTGAATTTGAATCCCTGAACGGGAATAAACACCTAGATGAAAGTAAATATGACTGACAAGTCCCAGATATACCAAATCACAAATGCTGCATTCAGCTAACAGCCTCATACCACCTCTACTATCGTTACGTTTTATGCTGAAATTTACATTGATTTAAAATTTATAATAAAATGTAACTACTTTAAATGAAACTTTAACCAATTCTAAATTAGTCAGCTTAAATATTTTTAAGTGAATAGCTCCAGAATACTAGTTGTTCAGTTCCATTTTTTCATAAGTACAACACATAAGCGAACTGCAGTAGTTGGTGTGATTGACTAAGTAACTTTGATTAAGTGTTTTCTGATATAAGATCTGATCTTAGTTTAAGGTGGTATATCCTCATAACTTTCATATGATAACATATGATGAATGAGTGTTAATCCCTGAAACCACTTTGACCGTAAATACATAGATTTTAATAAAGAGTAATAATACGACAAGATGTATCGCAGGATTCGTTATGTATCTATACCAAGGTTGGACCTGATAGTTTGAAATAGATTGAGCATTTGGTACAAAATCAATAATATATATACATATATATATATATATATTCGTTATATCCCAATAGATAAGAAATTGTATTTTTGACGTTTCGTGATTTAATGTAGGCCACTTCTTCAGAGTCAATAAATAACTATCGAAACTTGTTGATTTAATGTCGGTTATTTATTTACGCAGGATTTTTTGCAATGATATTTCTGGATTATTATTTGTGCCAAACATTTTGCAAGAACATGCAAAAGTTATAGAAACAATTCAATCTTTAATAATCAAACAATGAGAATAACTATGCTTCATTGTAATTCATAATATTATCCTTGTATACACGTTTAGGACCATGCTTTTGATTTTAAGACACAATAGAATTACCTTCTAAAGTTCTCGCGCTACATTGAATACTACAACCACTACTTTTAGTGATAATGAGTAGTAAAGCTTAGTTATTCTAGATGCCATTTCATTATTTCATGGGTGATAAGTCAAACAAAAATAACAATATATGCTTGAACAAATTAAATTCACTAAGGTTTGTAACCTTGTGCTTCAAGATCTGGTCATTACCATGATTTTTTATTTACACTTGTAAACCATCAGTTCATGAAGTCACAGAATGTTGGACTGACCCGTGTAATTGGATACAGACTAACTAGTTAAGGTTCGCGTGATATCTATCATCAGTTGCTGGAGATGTAGGGTGAATCGCCTCAGAATTGGGTACAGTAAAGCAGATGTATCAACCATTTATCTTACTCTAAATTTTGAATTTCGGTATTCCTACATAAAATATTTCACTTTGTCTTTTCAAACCGTATCCTCATTATTCAGTCTTATGATCATCACTGTGCAATTTTGACAAGTTTACTAGTTTTCTTATTAATTTCATGTTGTCTGAACTATTTCATACGACAACATGGGTTGACATGCATTTTTTCCAAGTTTCAAAGTCAATTATGACCGAATGGATTTATTTCTTATTACCTGTAGTTATATGAGATAATATTAGGAAGTTTTTTAAGGAAAGAATATTAGCCAGTTGTTTTTATTCAGATGTTAGATATCAGTGATTTTTAAAAAATATCAACATTATCTGATTGCTAACAGAAAATGAGAATAATTTAAATGACTTATCTACCATCTGAGTTATATGTAAATATTGCATACAGCCGATTTATCTGACCATCATTTTTCTACTGTTTCAGCCAACTGATAATTAAGTTCGACTGATAGGAATTATGTTTTCTTATAAATTATGGTTTTAAGGAGTAATTCTATCTTGTATAAATTCCATTTACCTAACGCAAGTGACCAACTGTTGTTTCATTTACTATGACTATCTGTCTCATATAATTCATTTAATAGGTCTTCACATTTTACTTGTCTATTACGAGATAAAATAAAACACATTGGTTTTCTTTTTACTGAATAGGGGCTTTATATTTTATATTACTGAAAGGCTAATCCATCATATATATATATATATATCAAATTTTCTAAACATTAATTTTTTTATTTCTAAAAACTTTAGCCTACTCACGTTAAAATAGTGATAAATAATGGTGATAAATTTAAAAAACATCAAAATGTTTTAAATCAATTCAATTCAATTAAAATAACTACTTTAACAAAAGAGTCAATTGTACAAAATGATCAAGTCAGTGAAGATCAAAGTAACAATATCAATCAATTTGTTGATAGTGAAAATCATAGCGATTCTAGTGTTACTGATTCTCAACAATTGATATCACATCCAAGAACATCATTCCCTCGTCCACAATGGTCGCAAACTCTTAGCTCTTACATGTGGTCTTCTGTTCAGAACAATAAAAGTAAATCATGTAAAATTTTGTACATAAATATTATTAGTAACCAATTTGAATAATCCATGGTTTTTTTTCTTAAGTCATGCGTTTCATAGTTGTTTAGTGATTTGAATAGCTTTCAACCAACGAATAAAGGGAAGTTAATCGATTTCAGTGAGAAGTCAGGACAAACGTACACTAAACAGTGTATTTGTTTATGTCTACAATATAAATGATTGCATTAAAATAAATAATTAGAAGTTAGTTAATACCTATTGACTGAGGTTTCATATTTTCACGTTGTGGCTCAACTGATGAGTTCTGTAGAAGGGCCTGACTTAGTAATCAACGAAATAAAGTGTTGTTGAGTGTAACTACTTTGGGATCATCAATAACTATGGTGACAAATAAACATTTGGTTTCTTATTTACTGTAATTACTAATTAAAGTGTAAACAGCTCTTTCACCCAGGACACCACGAAAATTGAGTAAACAATATGACTTTTAAAAGGGAAAGAAAACATGTCCATAATAGGGTGAAAGCATAAAATAGGCAACATATAACAGTCGGTGTCAAATATGAATTAGATTTAGAAGTAGAACAGAAAATTGCTTAGAATCAATTACTGTTGAAATCAAATGTGAAGTCTATGGTATAAACTTCGATTTCAAGTATAAAATATTAAATATGACTAACCAATTTATTCGAGTCAATGGGTAATAATATTTAAATCTCATTTATCTAACTCAGTGGTGAGGTTGAAATTTGGTGAAAAGTTTTTAATTAAGATATTGCGAACACTTTATGTTTATACTATTCCATAACCTTTGTTAATACCATCAATTACAATACTGTTCATTGAGAAGACAAAAAAATAGAACAATGAATACGTTACGTTTTCAGGCTGGATATAGTCTAAATATGTAGTTTCTGGTTTAATATTGGCTAAAGAACAACTACTGGAAACTAAGTGATTTTTAACATTTGTTGGAATTACTACATACTGAAAAACTTCACAGGTAAATAAATAGGTATGCAATTAACAATGAATGCTTGATTTTTTCTGCATTACAAATATCTCTGTCGTTCGATTTATTTAAACCAGCGATAATCACCCTAAAGTGAACTAATCATCTAGTTAAATATTAATTAATCTGAAGGAGTAGGCTTAGTGTGTTTTGATAAAAGTTTGTTGTCGTTGATCTTTTATTTTGAGGACATTATAAGGTGACACCTTTGTTTTCAATTAATTTCGAACTGTGTATTTCATAAACAAATAACTTCCGTAGTTTATGTGAGTGGATTTTTTTATTGCTTCTAATCAAATAGCATATCATACTCGATCCTCCAATACGATGAACAGATGCCTTAGTAATACAGATGGAATAAATATAGATCAAACTATACCTGCCACACAATTTTCTCAAAACATAAGACATTTCCCTCGTTTATCAGCAGCTGAAATTCCATGTGAGCGACCTAAATCAGCCCCGGTGAAAAATTGTATAAAAAAACTTAATCTTGATTGTAAAACTTATTCTGTTCATCAACCTGGTATATTGGCTAATGGAAATATGAATATATGTTAAACAAACAAAAACAGAGTGGATTTCTTCCTTCCTTTACAACAAACGTCGTATTCCAGAATCTATTGTATTTATTTCTGTTTAATTTAAAGTAACGACTGTGATATTTTGATTTGGCTTTTTTCCACTCTATTTTCAATTGGAAATAAAAGTATTTTACGAATATACTGTAAGATTTAATTATGATTATTGTCAATTATTTTATTTTTTCTATCATCAACATCCATCGAGTATTTACTTTTAAACGTTTCAATTTCTGGCATAACTTAACTTATCTATGCATACTTCCATTTGATTATGTTTATGAGGAGTATCCAAGGTACAAAAACAGTGAATTTTTATGTCTTCCAGTTTTGATGAAGTGACTCAACATGTTATTCATCATTTATAAACAACTGATTCTTATTACCTACCAAATAATATCGTTAGAAATTTCTTATCAAATGACCACCTCTATTTTTTATATTCATGTACTTAAAGACCACTTATTTTCATATACGCTTCATTAATTTCGAATGCTGCTTAATGGCAAAACTCAAATAACAGTTAAACTGTTAAATCACAAAAAAGAGAAAATAAACATATACTTTTATGACCTTAAAATGTTAGGCGAATTATGGACCTACTGTTTATTAGATGAAAATAGGTCGAGTTGCTAACCTGTATGCTTATTATCTGTCATTGAACTTTTTATGAATCAAGGTAATTCTCGCAAATCGTTGCGATTATATTTTAGAAAAAGAACAAGCAATTTCAAGGACTTAAACAGAATTTTAATAGCAAGTGACCACCCATGATTATTGCTGAAAACCTTAACTAATTGAATTTATGCACACTGAGTTATCATAGTTTGTCACATAAACAACGACTTGTGATTGTTTTATATTACATGAAAAGTGAATATCTTAGAAGGTTAACAGTTACGCGAGGATTATTAAAAGGCTGTTTTTAACTCAGCATAATCAGTTTAAGTTCGGAAAGGACAGGAGGCTTGATGGCCTTTGTCAGTCCTGGCAATGATGGTCTCTCAGCTGATCCAACTTTCTTTTGAAGGAGTCGACGGATGGAGCCTCAAACACGTGCTGAGGTAATGAATTCCACTCGTTGATGACTCGATGGGAAAGTCGATAGTCAGCGGACAAGTAATTTTTTCTTTGCTTGTGAAATGTTTTGGAACATTTTCGTAAATTCTCTGTTTTGGAAGACAAAAATATGAGGTGCAAGTTTATCACAAAGTAATTTGAAAACTGTAATCAGGTCACCTTGAGTTCTTCGATATGACAAAGGGAATAGGTTTAGCATAGCAAGTCGAGAATCATATGGGAGCTTCGCTATTCCTCGGATCAACTTAGTTACTGTTCACCAAACTTTTTTCAAAAGTTCACTGTCTTTTTCTAAGCAGGGGCTATCCGCTTGTATTCAGTACTCCAGTTTAGGACTCACGAATACTGTATACAAAGTCAAAAAAGTTTTGGCATCGACGCGACTAAAGGCCCTACGTATTAACCATAAGGTCTTAAAACTTTTGACAGCTATTGCATGTTAGTGTGCAGTCGTTTTTAAGTTTTGGCTAACAGTACTTCTTAAGTCATTGTGTGCCTGGACAACAGGTAGCTCAGTGTTATTCATTATGTATGTATCCGTACCTTGGTAACCAATATGCATCACAATACACTTGGAAGTATTTATCGCCGACTGCCAGGTTTGAGACCATTCATATAATTTTTTAAGGTCATTTTGGAGTTCTAAGCTATTACGCTCACTTCTTATTACTCTTCATATCTTCAGATATAACAGCCAGTTGTGAGGGCCTTTGTCAAAAGCTTTGCTGAAGTCAATGTAGGCTACAACTATAGGTAACTTATCGTTTCTAAGAGTAAACCGGCTTTCACGAGCCACTGATAAGTTAGTGAGACGGGAATAACTTATTCTAAAACCATGCCGCGTTTACGAAAAGATCTAGTTTTTATCGAGATACTTAAACAGCTCTTCCCAAATAATATTTTCTAAAATTCTTATAACCACACTAGTTAGGCTAAAGGTTTGGTAGTTATCAAGTTTATGTTTCTTACCTGTTTTGAAGACAGGACTCACTATGGTGTTTTTCCAGTCTTTTGGTAGATGACCTTGAGTGACAGATATATTAAAGCATATACTTAAAGGGTTCTCAAAAAGGTTAGCTAATTCCTTTAGTAACCAAGGATGCAATTTATCGGGTCCCATGGATTTGCCTATGTCTAGCTTATTTAGAAAATCAAAGACATCGAATTCTTTAATGGTCACGTCAGCCAGTGTGTGTGGTTGGGGGATTTGTATAGGCTGACGAATAGAGTACTTCTATGGTATATGCATTGCTAAAGTAGTTTGAGAATACTTGAGCTGTACCATAGTTGTCCAACCCACAGTGCTGGAATATTTCCTCTTCTTCTTATCCTTTGGTTTATATACGGATACAAGCGCCTAGGGCATTCTATAGACTCCTTAACAACTTTTTTCCTCTTAGAACCTAATGGAATTATGGACGGTCGAAGCAGATTTACTCCAAGCTTCTCGATATTTAGATTTTGTCTTATCATACTAGGAGATAAGCGTAATCAGATGTCAAAATAAGATTGCCAACTATGTCGCTTCACTTCCATAAGAATTCCAAATATAAAACTAGAGCGAACCGTTAATTTTGACTATTTTTACATGATATTTTGTGCAACCAGATATAATGACAAATTTAAACAGGGTTAGAGCAACAAAATTTGCAGAATAAAATGAATTCATTCTATTTCACGGTTTCTCATCAGCCGCATATAATCTTAAATTGCAATTGTTAGTATAATTATTAATAAATATTTAGCATACTTTAATTTATGAAGTTTAGATGTATGTTGGAGACGTAGCTGAAGTCATAATAATAAGAAGAATATGAATAAACATAGTTAAGGTCTATATGTATTTATATGCTGGAAAATAATAATTCAGAGGTTATAAAATATGAAATTATTAAGTGATTGGGTAATCGCTCAACATGATAAAATAAACGAAATAAATAAAACAAACAGTGCTTCCAAGTTTTCCATGATGGTCTAGCTTCAATTGATTCATGATCTCAACTGTTAAAAAAAATATGTAAACACCAATAAGATTTTCTAAGAGACGAATATTAGAAAACGAAATGAAAACAAATATAAAAGGTTGAGAACTTGGCTGAAAAAAATATTAAAAATTAACATTAAAAAGGGTTATTAAGTGAACACATAATCACTATGAGAGGAAAATACAAATCACATTATTCTTCTGTAGAAATAGATTAGGTCGGAAACGTTTGATATCGATTGCCTCAGCCGAATTGAGTAGTATTATTTGTTGTCTGTTAATTATTGCATTTACCTTATGTCCACTATCGAGATGTCTGGCAGCTTCACTTGTAAAGACTTAACTCCATTATGATAATTAAGAGTATTCGAATTAATGTGCCAAGAGTTACCAAAATAGTGCAATTTAAAACAGCTAGAATCAGATGATCACAAATGAACATACTATATTTGGAATTCGTAATCAGTGGGCCATTAAGTACAAATTCTGACCCGTAGATTATTTCCATCCTTGTATTCTTCTCTCACCCCTTGATTACTGTGTAATCCAACTTGACAATAAGAATTTCAAATCAATCTATGATGCAATCTTTTTTATATTTCTATAGACATATTTATTTTATATAACGATAAATACAAATCTACAGCTTAAGTAAATGATTTCGTCGGAAAGAAGTTTTTCTTCACTTGATTCTTTTTATATTTATATAAAGGAATCATTAGTTCGTGCAAATACCACATCCCTTTATTAATATTTCTCTCAGCCCCGTTTACATGATATCATCACATTAGGTTATCAGATATGTGCAGTGAGATTATTTGGATAGAGGATGCAAGGTACATGTGAAGAGTTTCATTTTTTGAAATCCAACATTGTAAAGCAGTATAAAAATTAAGTCGTTTCTTCAAGTAGTAGTGATCAATGTTCTTGATACGGTTTAATTACATATGTAGATTTCAGTGTACCAAAGAAAGTTATTTCACAAAGTCTTATAAATTTTTTTGCTTGTAATCTATCAAATGTCTCAATTAATGTAAGTGAAAATGATTTTTAGTGAGAAACAAGCATTTATCCCAATTTCTTTTTAAAAAAGTGAATGAGTTCTATATGTATGTCTATGTAATTACTGCATTACAGCTCAGCATATAGTGAGTTCGAACACTTCTTTAATAAATATATATATATATATATATATATATAAGCATTATGAAAGAAGAGTTTAAACTGCCCATGTTCCTGGCTTTAATGTTAAGTTATTGTTCTAACACAAATAGCAAGTCAAGAAAAATAATAAAGAGTCAATATTATATAATACTGAAGAACGACCATTTGGGTAAGTCTGTGGATGGTTGTTATATTTTTTGTCTCTATTACACGAGTAATTTATACGACATTGTTTAATTAGCTTAGCTTCAAGTACATGTAAAGATTAGATTATTGACCGTGTTTACACTTCACGCATATATTTTTCATACCTTTTTGCGACATAAACCTTTTAAATCTTTACATGCAGGTAATTTTTAACGTAATCGACATAAATGAATCATAAAATAAAAATATTTATTCTCCTCAACTTTATCACTGAAACTATTTTAGTCCTCTTTCAAACCAAATTGTTTCTCAATTGGCATATTATTTTTAAAGAACTTACTTATTCAATAATTTTTAAAAGGCTATTTCTTTGATATCTTACCGACTATTTTGGTGCAGCTACCCTTGAAAGTACTATAAAAAATATTAAAGAGCTTATATTGACTGAGATAAAATTATATTAATTAGAAAAAGCTTGTTTGTAGACTATTTTAGTTGACATACACTTTAGCATAAACTATGTCATTTCTGTGATTATTTAATTCGCATACGGAAGGCCTCACACGAATAACAATCAAAATCATACAGGTAACTGATTTTAAAAG